TGTGATACTTGTTGCTTACCAAAGCACTGGTCTGAAAGCAGGACTATACCCATGCTCTACTGTTTCCTAGGGTGGATTTGTTTGGTATCTCAGCAGCTACATCTGTTCCCATCTGCATAAGTAAGTTCATGAGCAGTGAAGTACAGACAAGCCCTTGATTCTCTTAGCCACCCTGCTGATTACCTGACCAGCGAATCGTGGCTTGTCTCTGGGATCCAGTAATTTTAAAACTGCAGTAAGAAGCATTTGAGATTCTGAATTTCGGAATAAATTCTTTCAAACTTGCTTGTGGTTCCTGCTCCAAATCATGCAAAGGATTGAAACCTGGTGAGACAGGACAAGAAACTTTTGTCTAAGAAGCAAAGACTAGGCTTTAACTTACTCTGGAGTGCTGGCTGTGAATCTCAGAGAAGCACCAGGACTCTGAGCCCTTCAGAGACAGCGATTATATCACACTTTATTTCTGACTAGTTCTTCCTCATGAAAAGGGGACAGGCCACTCAGGAAGGGTAAGGAAACTGGGCAATGCCTCGGCCTAGCTTTAATGATCTCCATCCTGCTCCCAGCATGCTTGCCTCTGGCAACCCAACCAGATGTGCAGGACTTTTTGGGACATGCTGGGAGCATGGTGAGGCTATAGAGATCTTTTCTGCTCTTGAGGTTATGGGGATGAGGCAGCAGCAGCAGGACACTAGCTCCTGAGGCGTGCAAGGGCAAAGAGCCATCTGACAAGGGGGAAAAAGGTGAAGGGATGGTTTGTTAGGGTGTTCCTGTGTCTCACCACCTTCACAGTGAAGAATTTCATCCCAATAGCCAATCCAAACATACTCACTTTCAGTTTAAGACCATTCCTCCTTGTGGTGTCACTATAGACCCTAATAAAAACTCCCTTTCCATCTTTTCTGTAAGACCTCTTAGGTACTGAAAGGGTGCAGTAGGGTCTCCCTGGAGCCTTCTCTTCTCCAGGCTGAACAGCCCCAAATCTCTCAGCCTGTCTTCATAGCCCTCTGATCATCTTTGAGGCCCAAACCTTTATGCAACAAACCCCCCCCTAAACACCCTATTCTGGAGTCTTGTTAAATTGATGCAAAGTGTAGCTATTGGTAGCTTTGCTGCAAGACCAGTGGCACCATTCCGTGCTGTGGGTGGCTGTCAGGGTGTGACCTTTCTGTGTAGGTGCCATTTCTTACAAGCAGCATAGTTTAACAAAGGAAATTTTTAAAGCCCACGTTATTTCCAAGGGAGTGTTGCTAAAGTGACTCGGCAGACGCTCATCCTCAGTATTTGTGAGGGAGAAAAGAATTTTAAGGCAGCAGCAATAAATCCTTATTTTAACTCCTTGATTTTGAAAAACATGAAGTTTGGGGGGAAGTGTGTCTCTATATAGATGCTTACTTTGGGAAGCAGCTGGCCAAGCCCTTAAGTGGAAGGCCAGAAGAGCCGTAGGAAATTCCTTATTCCATGACTGAATATGAGCCCAATTCAGGTTTTTTTGTGCAAAGTTCATAGGCTCCTTCCTGTGCCCAAACATGTGCTGGTGCTGTACCACATCTCAACCACAGACACTTCAAGACAACATTTAAACTGGGGGGCAGTGATGGGGACTAAGGGAAAATTCTGAGTATGAGAAGCAGCATGCAGGAATTTCTATCAGCTGGGAAAGGAGACTGCAGGCTGCAGCTCCAGAGCTTCCCTCTGGGTTCTGCAGTACTGTTATTCTTACTTAGAGGGAAATTTTAAGATTGGCAGGGATGGCAAGGATTAGTATAAACATGAATATCATTATAGACACTGAGAAAAACCTATTGAGAATATATGTTAATAGTTTACCTGCTTTTTTTAGATGCAACTTCTGGATTTCCAGATCCATCTCGTTATTTAATCTGAAAAGGAAATAATTCTGCCATACTTGTGAATAGTTCCCAAGTTTTGTTTTGCAACGTGACACCTGATGCAGCCTTTGACTCTGAACTTCGCATGATCTCACTCTTTTCTGAAAGCCAAATAAACCCCCCCACAAAGCAACAAGCCCAGTGGCTTGAGGTTTGCATTGCGTCGGTACTTCCCTTGCTGTTTCACAGGCTGGCTCCAGCCTTTCCATTTAGCTGCTGTATCTTCCTGAGAGCAGCACTCTTCAGTCAGCATTGGGGATAGCAGCCCCAGCAAATGCTGGAGGTCGTTTCCAGGCTCATTCAGCTGCATAGGGCAGCTCTGTTAGGGCAACTACATTTACTTCATACAGGATGAGTCCTCTGCTCATGAAAATGCAGCAGCTTCATACTTTGCTCCTTAGCTGACACATGAGCTTGACAAATACATCACCACTAAGGACTGATGTAGCTGAGGCTTCTAAATATTGCACTTTAGGGCAAAAATGGAGCTTTTGACTATGTAATTGTCATGGACATGTTCCTGTTTACACTGTCAGGGTTGCTTTCACCCCTGACTTTTCACTAGGGACTAAAGGGAGCAGAGGGCACAGAGCTGTGGTCACCCCCAGTCCCCCTCCCCTGGAAAGGCTGGCTGAACTCCGGCTCCAGCCCATTCCAAAAGGCCAAGGAGTGAGGCCTGCTCTGCACAAACATCTAGTGTTGCTGATGATATCAAAAGTCTTAAGAGAAGAGCCTCGTTAAACTATAAACCTAAACTTTGTCCTCTGCAGTACAGGTCAAAGTACCTAGCAAATATCTGAGGTATGTGCCAAAAGCGCTACTAAACACCTCCTACGACCAGCCACTTGATTTCCAAATGTCCCCTTGCCTTTTCATGTTGTTTTTTTTATTGTGCTTTAAACTTTCTTGTATTTGTATAGTGACAGCATGAAAGCCAGGGTAGCTCACCAGACCAAATTCTCGTCATAACGCTGCTGTCTTCAGTGATAGCAGAGATTAAAAGAACAAAATACACCAAGACATCTTACTGAAGTGTCTATAAAACCAGACTGTATCAAACACTTTTATGAAAAAACCCAAACCAAACCCACTGACCACTAATTATCTTCTCTATAAATGGGTAAATGTGGAAGCTATCTGCAATTAAAGTGCTATAAATTAACTTTGGAAAATGAAGTACACAGCAGAAAGTTTATTTTTGTTTTTCAATACATGTTTCCTCTACAAAAATAAATCTGAACAATATTTTAAATTAATAAACTCTGATAAAAATAATCAGAATTTCATGAATTATTATGCTACTGACAAAAACAATTGAGTATATTTATTAAGAAGTAAGGTAACAAATAGTAATTGTTGCTGGAAAGTATCTGAAACAGAAAAACTCCCTCCCTATTCATTAGGCCTCAGTAGTCTTCCCCATCCTGAGTTTTTCATGGAGTAGTATCCAGGAGGCAGATTCCTCTGTTCTCCAGCTGACGGATTCATTTGAGACTTGGTGCCAGCAGCAGACGTGGCCCTTGGTGAGACCAGAACTGCCCCACTGCCACGGAGGCAGGAGGGAAAGCTTTTAAGTAGTGAAAGGGCAAAGACTCACTTTCTATTACACCTTTTATGATAATTATTAAAAGCCTCAATGGAATCTGTATCCTACAGTGAATTCTGGGTAATAATCAACAGTAGTATTTTAGAGCCCTCTCTTTCCCCCTTGCTGTCTGTGCTGCACTGCACTTGTAGCCAAGGTTACCTCTTGTCATGGTTTAACCTCAGCCAGAAACTCAGCCTCACACAGCTGCTTTGATCACTCCCCTGCAGTGAGAGAGAAAAGTGAGAAAACTTGTGGGTTGAGGTAAAGACAGCTTAATAGGTAAAGCAAAAGCTATGCATGCAAGCAAAGCAAAACAAGGAATTCATTCACCACTTCCCATGGGCAGGCAGGTGTTGAGCCATCCCCAGGAGAACTGGGCTTCCATCTTGGGAAGACAAACATCATCGCCCCAAACGTCTCTCCCTCTTTCTCCTTCTTCCCCCAGCACTGTATACTGAGCACTATAGGGAATGGTATATCCCTTGGGGTCAGCTGTCCTGGCTGTGTTCCCTCCCAACTCCATGTGCACCCCCAGCCTCCTCACAGTGTGAGGAGCAGAAGAGGACTTGTCCCTGTGCAATAATGCCCAGCAATAATGAAACATCCCTGTGCTATCAACAGTTGCCAGCACAAATCCAACCATAGCCCCACACTAGCCACTCCCCAGCCAAAACCAGCACACCTGAGAACTGGCTGCCAGAGAGGAAGAGCCACATCTGGCACAACCGCCACACTTTGGCATAAGGAAATTCCAAAATGCAGTAGCCATTCCTGTGCTGCAGTTATGGCAAGAAGCTTACAGTGCTCTGCTGTGTTGTCAGTGACTACTTTTGGCTTTGGCCAAACAAATAATTTGGAGTTAAGACAATGTGAGAAGTGCAGACTTCTAAAACACAAGGATAACAGAGTATAACCTCTAATTGCTAAAAAACAATCTCCTGGAACAGTCTCATCATTACCATCTCATTATCCAGTAATGAATAGCTGTTCAGATACTTCAGGCGTTATCTAGAGCTAAAAACCATTTTCTGTTTAATCTTACTATGGGCTCCACTGATACAATTGATACAAAAATCTTCTCATTTTAATTACAAATAATATATATCTGCAGAACAGTTTCAGTTGATTGTCATAAAGGTCTTTGTAAAAGACAAAAGCACACGGATGCCTACAAGTTTGCAGAGTATGAATTTGTGCTTTCTGCTGACTGATCTCAGTGCCTTTCAAATAAATCTTTAAGCTCTATAGCTTCTGGTTCCTTCTATATTGATTTTAACACAAAGACAATAAAGCTGCTTTGTTACAAAACCACATACAAGGAAAACGATAAAAAAAAAAGAAAAAAATCTCTGTTTGAATATAGCTTTATTACAAAACATACATTTTCTCTATTAGCCAAGTTAAATAATGATAAAAGCAGTTAAGAGGTTTTGTTCTTTTAGGCCTTACAATTCTGATCTGGTTCAGCTGTGTGTTACGGTACAAGTCCCTTGGCAGACTGGGCTTTAGAGAGCAGCTCCTCACATCCAGGGCTCCCATCCTTCCCAGACTCTGCCAAGAATATTGGGGTCTGTTGCTTGATCGATGAGGCATCTCACTTGGGTCTCCTCTGAAAGTCCATCCTCTGGCTCTTTGGCCCTGATATCATGATTAGCATTACCACGAGCCACAGCTGCAAAATCCTTATACGAAGACGACTTCTCGTGGCCCAGGCGTAGTTCATCGCTGAAATGGAGAACACAAAAATAAGCTCTTACTAAAAGAAACAAGCAAAAAATCTGAGAAGGATTTTTAAGTACAAAACAGCACTTGAAAAATACCACTGCCTGAATCGAGATTAAGACGTGGAGACTGTTCAAGAGCTGTAAAAGGCTGGGCCAGTGAAAACTGGCGATTTCAGGGTGTCCTTTACCCGTGGAGATTTACCACGTATATGCCAATCTTGTCAAAGGTCTCCAACGGCAAGAAGGATGCAGCAGTTCACGTCCAAGCTGTTGATCTCTTTACCTGCCCTGCTGATTTGGGCCTGTAAGAAGTATTTTGCTGCCTTTTTCAGTTCAGCCTTGACCACAAAAAGGACTCCTCCCAAGTCCTGCACTTTTCAATATTTGTATGGTTTTAAAACAGGCTCACTTTCTTTGCTTTTTTGTCTTTCCCTTGATTAATCCAAAATGTCTTTTTAAGAGAGGATGGAAGGGATTAATTGTACTTTTAACTGAACTTAAAGACATTCTGGCTTGAGCCAGACTCGACTAGACATAAGAATGCCATCAGATTTGAATTTGTTGTTTTCAGGAAGCAGCTTACCTCCATGCCTCCCTACAGCTGGTTCAGGTTCCATTTCAAGCAGAAGCATATATTGATTTAAATATTACCCCTAGCCTAAAAGCTGTGGAGATGAACACAAAGAGCAGTGGAGTGACGAGTGTGAGGTTAAGCAGGCTGACAGGGTGGGGAGGTCTACGTTGCCAGGAGCAGTAAAACTGCTCAGGAGGCCTGAGCTGGAGCAAGAAAACTCACATGGGAAGGTATCTGGTATTTTGACTGGCAGGGTGATTCAGAGAGCTTGTACGTGGACCAAAACAATTCTGACAGAAGGTTTGTTGAAATTTTGCCCTGTCTCCCTCTTCTCTTTTCCTAGCCATCGTTCTATCCAAAGGGTGCAAAATCTGACAGAGGATCCTGCCAAAGCTCTTAGTAGAGCAGTTTAAAGCAAAGAGAGCATCTTACCAAGTGATTACTGCTGGATTGGCACCCGTAAGCTTTCTTCTGACATAGCTGACTTTTTGCAAAGGGTACCAGTTTACTTCGGATGTGTTTATATCCTTAATCCATGTGCCTCCGTCTTTCAGCTGTCTTTGTTCAAAATGCTAAAGAGAAAACAAATTTACCCTATTTATCATAAATCATACACTTAAAAAGACTTTTAAGCTGCCAGGTCACAGCGAGTTAAGTCAGTGACTCTTCACTGCAGATGCAATGGAGGGTAAAGTAGTGGATGATGTCTAGCTTGCCTATGACTTGACTTTAATTTACAACTCAAGTTACTGAAGCACAACTAGTTTCAGATTTTTTCTCTGCTATTGTTACTTTGATATATACAGTGCTGTTAATGTAAATTTAAAGAGACTCAGTGCAGAAAGTTTAAAATAATTATGCTGCTGCCATAAGTAACATAATGTGAATCCAAGATTTTAGGATTTTTAGGATTATCATGCAGATAAAGAACAGTACACTGATAACACAGACACATGCTACTATTCCTTGTCCATCAATATAGAATTCTGCAATGTTAAAACCTTTCAGGCCGATTTCTCCGGGAACTTAATAAAACAAAGAAAGATAAGAGGAACAGTGAGAACTCGCATCAAGAGATACTTCTTTTTGATCAGCTTTATTCTTATCACAGCCTGAGGATTTTCACATGAAGAAAAAGGAAAGAGGAAAACCCCCACCTTCCAGTCCAAAGAAGGCTCTTTTACAAATACATCCATTGTGCTGATGAGGAGATCTGGATCTGAACGATATGCCCTTAGGGCATGCACCATCACACTGTAAATGAGTCCCCACTCTCTGACTGGCATCATCAGATTAACGAACTGGCGAGTCAGGCGAAAAGGCATCAGTTCTGGCACCCTCAAAAACTAGGCAAGGGGAAAGACAGTCAAAAGAAAACAAGAAATAAGAAGCCTTGGAACAGAAGAATTAGAAAGGAGTATTTTGTTCTTTTTAAGCTTTGAAACCTGCAACACCATAAAACTGGACCAAGTTGTGACATCAAAGCTCTAGTCATGAATATTTAGTGATAGTGGTTGAAAGCTTGGCTGAACTACATAAAACAGCACCACATGGACTCCGTGACACTCCATAGCTCCCCACTTGCCTGAGAATACCTGGACACAGAGGTTTGATTCTATTAACTAGAAATAACTTGCAAAGATTATTTTGCACCAGAACAATGGCAGCTGAAAAACATAGAATTCAGTACTGAGAATGCACATAATAAACGCAAAAGCTGCAACAAATTAGTTCAGAAACAAATACCTGTGTGGCTGTGCCAAACGCGTATCCGAAGTCTATTCCCACCATGCCACCTGTCTCCTTGTTAATCATGAAGTTGGACAGATGTCTGTCTCCAATACCGAGTATCCAGTGGCTGATGCACATTAGAGCGTGCGATCTGGCAAAATGGGACCGCAGTGCCAGGAAGGCTTCGGGAGACGTGCTCATTCTCACAAAGGCTCTCCTTAACGAAAGAGAACTCCCTGGTTCAACACAGATACAAACACTGACATCCACTGCCCAATGTGCAGCCATTAACAGCACACTCACCGCAGCAGGTCTGCTGGAACACTGCTCTCCCTTCTTCTGAAGGACATGACTGCTTCTGTACGGCTGGCATTTCTGGAAATCAACGAAGGAGTAACGTCAGCTACTGAAACCACAGCCCACCAGACACTGAACGCTAAGATGTGGCCATGACCACACTAGTGCATGTTGCTTACCCCAGTAAGCAGTACATACAGCAAGCCACACAGAGCTGGCCCAAAAACTTTTACCTGCTATTAGCAGTACCTCCACCCTCTCATTTTCTCCCAGCAGTTATTTTTTAAGACCGACATTTCTTAATACAAAAGAGTATGTAGTTTTGTCTATTCCCCCCCAAATTAAGTAGCTGGGTCAAGTTTTAAAACAGCTATACAATCGTGCGCTTTCTGGCTGGATAGTCTCTTCCAAGCAGAGACACCAAGGCACAGATTAAATCTCTCAGAGGTATGCTGAGGCTATACTGACACTAGAAAGTAGTGCAGCACAAGGGAAAGCAAGAGAACTAAGGAGCTGGTGCTGGGGACATCCATGCCATATGGATTTGGGGAAGGAGCTTTGGCCTAGCCCATGTCTAGCTCTGGGAATGGAATGCTTGTGAGCAGCTGGAATGTACCAGGTGCTCTCCTTTCGGTCTAGTTCCCTCTGAAAGCAGCAGAGTTGTGTGTTAGAGGACTGCTCCCTGGTGCAAGCAGACAGAAGACGAGTTGGGTTGACTGAGAATTTACTTCAAAAGCACATTCTGGATCTGAATACAAGTATTAATGTAGAGGCACTAAGTTATATGAGTCAACTTTTTCCTTTAAAAAACAAGACACTTGCTTAAGCAAGTTGTCAGAAATGCTCTGCAGGACTCTTCCCTTTGTGCCCCCACAGTGCTAGATCTAGGCAGCTATGGAAATTCCTCTGAGAGAGGAATTTCTCCCTCAAGTTGGGACCCAAACCATCAAGCATTCTTAAGTTCTTAGTGAATCATGGTGATTTTTTTCTGTCCAACTTCAGCAGATACTCAGGCTCTGAGGCAGCCTACCTGACTGCCTAACTAGGAACAAGACACCTAGAAAATAAAGTTCAAGAGCAGCATCTGCTTCTAGATACCTTCTTAAGGAAGCAAGCAAGGTTCTGGAAGCACTCCTTTGCTCTGGTGGGATTTTTGGCAGAACTAAACTCCTCCTGCAGAGCATCTCCAGTAAGACAAAATAGTAAATGAGCAAAATCAGATCTAGGCATCATATTATAATGCAGATCATATTTTTTAATGGGAATTTCTACAACTCCTCTGCATGTGCACACTCTAGCCTCTGTATTTTACATGCAGATCTCTTTTAAAACCTACCTGTACATAACACGGTATCGGGAGATGCCTTCTCTTTCCCCACTCATCTTGAACAGCCACTCAGAATAGGTAGCACGAGGTCCATTTTGGCTAGGGACAAGAAAAGAAAAAAGGCACTGATGATTTCCCTGTATCATCTTACCACTCTTTATTCAAATATCCTCAGGCTCTGTGCTGCTCTCACCCACGAGATTTTTATGCAAAGGAAGAGTCAGGAAGCCACAGCCTATATTAATTTTAGCCTTGCTATGGAAATGAAATTTATGCCGTCAGTGCATACGCTGATCCGCCCATCTCCTTCCCCCCAGGTCTGAACACACTTCAGTCATATCTAACAGAAGATTAGACATCTCACAGGTGTTAATTTGTGAATAGGTACCGTGAAAATTAAACGCTGCCTTAAGAAAGACCCAAGAATAATTTCTCCAAGAAGGGAAAGATATTTTTAGCAGTCTCATAGCCATTTGAGAGGTATTTATGTAGCCCACCACAGCATATGCTGCTGTTCATCCATCCAAACAGGTAGGGAATGCAGGCAGGGAGTTCACTATCTCCTCACAGTGTGCACAAGAGGAGAGGAATGGGGGCTTGACCTTAGGGTGTGAATCCAGTATTCATTAGCTGCACTGCTTATAGAATATTTTGATTTTTTTCTCCCATCTTAACTAAATAAATCACAGTGAGTCGTCCTCCACCTTCCCAGTCAGTGAATTGAGATCAAGGTAGTAACACCACAAAAGTGAAGCTGACAGCAGCAATGCACAAACTGTAGCAGTTCCTAAACTGCTCACAAATCAATTAGAAATAAATACTGTTTGGAGTCCAAGCTCCACGCTGGAGGCTCCTCCAACCTGCCCTATAACTGTTAACCAATAAAAATAAATGGTGACAACAACACCTTGACAAACCCAAGCAGAGATTATGAAACTAAGAACAACACTAGTAAATTAAACTACATTTCTAAATTCCAGGACAGGAACAGGCTGAAATGTTATAATTCAATCAATCTTACAAATATTCAACCTCCAATTACAATCAAGAGAAAGCAAACCCAGCATTTGTATGAAGTCAGGGAGAGTGCTCTTGTACAGTTGTGTTTTGTGCATCTGCTGCCAAATTCCACCCCCCATCACTGACTCACTGCTGAACTCAGGTTCTGAGTAGCTGTCTCTGCTCCCTCTCACCCACCCCACTGACCTAAGTCCACTTCCTGCCTGATCAAATCAAGAGATCAAAATCCCGTGCTTGTAAAATCAATCTGCTGATAAGGAAATGGTGATGATAATGACGTCACACATGATTATAATTATAAGCCTCTTGTTTAAACAAGCTGGGTGGAGGATATTCCAGGTACAATGGCACTCATTAAACAAACACTTGCCAATTACTAATTTGGGTCAGGAAGTACAAACTGCCTCACTGATCAAGAGATCAAAATCCCGTGCTTGTAAAATCAATCTGCTGATAAGGAAATGGTGATGATAATGACGTCACACATGATTATAATTATAAGCCTCTTGTTTAAACAAGCTGGGTGGAGGATATTCCAGGTACAATGGCACTCATTAAACAAACACTTGCCAATTACTAATTTGGGTCAGGAAGTACAAACTGCCTCACTGCTTAGAGGTGCTTTCATTCTGT